AATTTTGGTGATCATCTTTTTAATATAAGTTCTATCTATCAGCCTCTATCTGTCATTTTCTCTAACGTAATTGCTGTCTTTTGGCAACGTCTTCCATTTTCTTTTTTGTTACCAGTTAACATAAGCACACCTCTCTCATTGCTACTTTAGATTGATGGTACTTTTATTACTATATATTATTAGAAAGGAGAAGGCTTATCTTTGACAATAGAGTACGCTGGGCACGATGCTGAGATCTGATGAGCTCAATATAGAATTGGACAATGTTTGCTGGGGAACACTATCTTCGAGAATGGTTTCTGGCAGATGTTTACCATCTTCTATATTAGTCTGTGGTTGATAGTGTTTTATCCATGTCCTTCCCACTGAGGGGTTTAGAGCAGTGCTAAGGCTCTTCACAGAATTTGCTCATTGCCACCCTTAGTTCTTGTTTTTATTTTTAAACTAATTGATGTTTAGAGCCACCAGCTACTGTTTGGTGATATAATTTTCTTTCCTTGACATGAATCTACTTGCATGCAGAAAAAAATTGGTTATGGTTTTGAGGGAAGACAGGCTGTAACTTCAACATCTCACACTCACGCTATTAACGAACAGGTTTGGCTTAGCAGAGCATCGGTCTCCTACTCGACTCCAGATTGCAGTGAAGGTAATTTACTATTCAGTCAAGTCTCAGACTATGTCTGCCATTAATTTGATATTATAAATGTGTTCAATTCTCCTCTTGTTTATTCTGCAGATGTCGAAAGCAGCAGAAGTGGGAAAAGACTGGGGGAAGAAGAGATATCAATGGAGGAGAAGCCAAACAGGAAGCGTTCACACGTATCCTCAACCAATTTAATCTCTGTAGATATCAATGAAACCATGGTCTCAAATGATGAAAGAAAACAGAAAAGGATATGTTATGGAGAAGAAACATCAAGCATGAGATCTTCATCTAAAGTGCATCCCTTGTCTGGCATCTGGAATCAACAGTCCACAGAATCATTGAACTTCTTCCCAGTGGAACCGAGTCCTGTACAGAATAATACCAAACCGGAAAACCTAATACACATACTCTCTTCAGATGACGAAGACGATCAGGAAACTAAAAACCCAAATCTTGAACTTGCTCTTTGGGGAAGACAAAATGCACACAAGGGGAGGCAATGGAAAAATCTAGATGAAGACGAAGATGTTTCAGCATCACTTTCTCTATCCCTTGCAGTTCCTACTCTTGAGAAGGAGCGGCCAAAGCACGTTACAAACCAAGATCAAGAAAGGCCTGATGTCAGCACATCATTGCTTCTCTTTGGTCGCGTCATTAATAAGTAGCCTGTTTGGAGGAAACTAGGCTTTGTATATTGATTACCGGTAGGAAATAGTCACTGAGGGCAAATATTGAAGAAAGCCCTTTTGCATCTGTTCATAACCACACAGGAGCATGTTTTTTTGGGAAATATTCTCCTCTTTTTGGTTAGTTGCTGTTTTCAGAGTGTAGAATCATGGCTGCTTGTATATAAGAGATGGAAAGCCAAGGTTTTACTCCGAATTTAAGTCTATATGGGTACATTTTCTTTTCTGGCACATATCATTTGAGTGCCTGTTTTTTTTTTTATTTAATTTTTTCTCATACTGATTTCTATTTTTAGATTTTGAGTGAATGAGATTTGGTATGTTTGAGGACGAAAGTATGTTCAAAATTGTAAGTCCTTGGACTGCATCTCTCTGTCAATTGGGAGGCGTGTTGACTGCGAGTTGAACCGGATGATGCAGCAAGCATTTTCTCAGATGATGCAGAGCGATATCAACAGGAATTTGAATTTATGTGCAGAAAGGCTTCAACTCCCTGAAGTATTGGAGAAAGTAAATGAACTTGCGTAGAAACAGAGGTAGATACTGTTATACAAAAGGTCAAGCTTTTTGCTCGTGTGATTTTAATTTGAGCTGATGGTAGGGGCCTGGATATTTGCTTGAACTTGGTGCCATAGAGAAGTTTAATCCGTCCAGAGTTTAGTGAAAAAAGTAGCAAAACATTAATAAAGAGAGAAATTGAGATAGGTGGTGAAGAGGATGACAACGGGCCGGTTGTCTCAATCTTATTAGCATTAAAAAACCCAATAAATTGAAACAGTTTATTTTTAGTGGAGGACTAGTTAAATCAATTGCAAAACAAACATAACCCATATCAATAAAATTTAAAATTTACTGATCCGGTTAGATTTAACAATTTTAAAACGTAATAATTAATGCCAACAGCTTCGGTGCTCCCAAGCAGTTGGTGTAGTTTGTTTCCCTAAAAATCTCTCTCACATCCTAAATTTGAGGGATAAGTTAGTTGACAGTAGTTCCACACCCAAAAAAGTAATTTCACTTAGATAAAAAGGTTATTTTAGGAAGTATAAATAAGAAGATAAATAGGAAGTAGTTAGAATTCTCCAACTAATGAAAAACTCTCGGGGTCTTTATTTTTTTGACGTGGTTTTCTTCTCCAATCCCCTAATTCATTGCGCGGATGGCCAAACCTAATGGAATTTAATTTTTGATATGGTCATCGATCCTATGAAATACTTCATACGAGCGTCTTCTTTCTCTAGAGTATTAAGCCCGAGATCATGAGTGTCGCCACCGGGCCAATCTGACTGGAAAGAAATTGTTTTTGCATGGAGGAACTGTATGTACGAGCCCGACATTAATTGGCTTTCTCTTAGGCCTTGTGAACCTTCATTCGATTAATTTTTAACTAAACAACTGAGATTTTGAATGAACATGATTGCTTTGTTTAAGTTCATCAACATGGTTGATGGTCGATTTTCTTCGGATCCAATTTCCTTGTATCGCATTCAATCACATGTTAGATTTCTTGTTGATATCTTTATTGAGGAATTTTCTTAGCGTAATTCACCTATGATTCTATTTAAACGGATTTATACGCGTTTGATGGAGTTCTGTGGATGAGAAATTGGTGGGGACGAAGATTTATTTGTTTTTCCAAATTTACCCTTTTTAAAAATATAAATTAATAAACGATTTTAGGAGCACCGAAGCAAAGCCCATAATTAATATGATTTAAGGGACTAATTAACAATGTAGATAAATTGAGGGACCAATATTGAAATATTAAAGAGGTAAGGGACCACTATGCAAATACCCAAAAACAAAAACCTACCTACCCCTCCCATGCAGCACCTCCATAAAAACCTAATGGGTGGCACTAGGGGCACACCATCAACCACAACCTCAACCACACCCCCTCTCTCATTTGCTACAGTGTACCGGACTCCACATAAGATTTTAAAATTTAAAATCCTTTATGGGGCCTGGTGCACTATAGCAAATGAGAGAGGGGGGTGTGGTTGAGATTGTGGTTGGGGGTGTGCCCCTATCATTTTCCAAACCTAATACCCCCTCTCGCTCTTCTCTCCGTCTCTTCAAACCCTAACCCTAAAAAATCAGCAAGGAAAGAAGTAAAAGAAAAGTCTCCTACTCATCCCTCGTATTCTTCCCTCCATGCACCCCCACAAACGCCCACCACCATCCCCTGCCCCACGTGTGGCAACCCCTCCAACACGT